CTCCTGGGTCAGATTTGCTCCCACCCTTTTGGCCTTCCGAAAGGGCCTGAAGACCTGGTTCTGCCAATTGGCCTGTGGTCCTAATGGGAATGTGGCATGTTGGAGGTGGCTAATGGAGTAGAGAACACCCCATCTCCTCTCTGTGCACACTTTGCGCCCTCCCTCTCCATACTGCTTAGTTTGATTTTAATTTGATTTTTAAATTTAAGATCTTCATTTATTGTTTTATTTTGCATTTTATCCAATGTCTGTAAGTTGCCTAGAGTTGCCTCTGGTGAGATGGGTGACATGCAAGCTTGATAAATAAAGCACAACAATACATGCAGCAGCTAAGAAACTAAATCAATCTTAACAGTGTAGTACAATCCAAGTTTTCGCCCCCACTCCAATCCCATGTTTGGGAATATAACTATGTCTTAAGGGCCCTGTGAAAATCTGACATAGTTGAGGAAATCTAATCTTGGGAGGAATGGCGTTCCACATGACAGAATCCCAAAAGATGACATTCTTCAGTGACAGGGCCTGCAGAATGTTTTTTCTGTTGGATCTAATTGGATGGGAAGAAACAAGTGAGGGAGATAACCTAACTCTTTACCACGGAAAGCTTTGTTTATGACAACCGGCACATATGGAACAAGAAGCACATTGGCAAACAATGTAGCTCACAGAGTAGAGCTTTAACATGTTCACCCAGAGGCATTTTCATAGCTGTCAACATCAAAGCATCTGCACCAACTGCAGCAGCGCCATGTGGAATGCATTGAAGTCATCCACTTGAGAGGTGATTTTGAGCAGAAACTCTGACGCTAGGAAAGAAAATATAAGATGAAGTTGTGCAAAAACCTTCCTGGCCATGGCTGCCAGCTATGCCTTAAATGGGACCTGCCAGTTGAGGAGGATACCCAGAATGTGCATCAGTTCTAGCTTAGGGCAGTGGAACCTCATCCAGAACAAGAGATGGCAAATCCTTGGCTCCTTGGGACCTTAATATCCAGTTTTGCTAGGATTGAGTTGAACCTGTCATTCCCCATCCAGACTCTCATAGTCTCTAGACACTAAGGTAGGATCTCCATTGAATCATTTGGTCAGCCAAGGGCAGAAATGTGATGCTGGGTATACTTAGCACTCCACTGGGCCCTGAGACACCCAGCAAAGCGGGAGCTGTGGGATAGATAAAGACCATGAAATCACTTCACATTGCCCCCTTCCATTCCCAATCCAAGGGGCAGAAGACATGTCTACCTATTCTGTGTCACTGCTGATCAGAGGAGTGCAATCCATGCCGGTCCAAGCGGCAGTGATTTTATACCTAGTTAGATGCCTCCATTAAATGACTGGGGGGATACTGTGGTAGCAATATTTACTGCCCTGAAATATGGGATAGCGAGTGGAGAAGTTGTAGGATTTAATTCCATGAAAGCTTACCTTCCTTTCCATGTATCTATCTCTGACAAAGCTACATTTTCCTTACTACATTATGCTTGAATTTCCCTCCATGTTTGGCATCTTTTTGGAAGAAATAAAGTGCAAATTAGAACCCCTGGTTACTCTGACAGGAGCTTTTATACCTATAGCAGAGTGTCCTGGCTCCATCAGAGCCCGGTTCAGAGGAGAGGGGGAGGAGGAGGAGGAGGAGGAGGAGGAGGAGGAGGAGGAGGAGGAGGAGGAGGAGGAGGAGGAGGAGGAAGAAGAAGAAGAATCAGGACCGTCTGACAGGGATGTTTGGAGACATCAGGGGCTGAGGACAATGCTGTCCCAGGATCCTCAGGCATTGGGGAAGGTGGTTGATCAGATGGAGAGAGCTGCTTGCCTTCACAGACACAGGGGAGGATCAGCTGCTGACAGGCAGTGGTGCTGATAGGCAGCAGATCCCCTTTGATGAGGAGCAGCTGCCTTCCCCGCTCCATCCAAGGGCACAGAGAATGTAGTGTAGGCAAGCTCAGAAGGGCTGCAAGACTACTCAGGTTGCCCCACTCTTCCTTACAAGGAACACCTGGAGTAGAGTGACTTAAAGAGAAGCCATGGGGAGTTAGTCTATGCCAGGAACAATTGTTTGTTTTGACTTACACTCCCCCCCCCCCCGGCTTTGATTTGTGCCTTTTGCCTTGCCTTGCCTTTGATTTGTGCCTTTTGCCTTGCCTTGCCTTGAGGGACTGCCTTCTACCTTTTGCTTTGCCTAGCCTTGAGATCTGCCTTTTGCCTTGTACCTTGTCTTTGCCCCGAGGACCGCTTTTTGTCTTTTTCACAATCTGCTGCTGGATCTGGACATAAGGAGAACATAGCAAGGAAGTTTGGAAGAAAATAACCCCACATTTTTTGTTTGTTTGTTTTAAAGCAAAACCTAGGGAAATGCAGTGCAACTGTACTCTACCGGAAGAAAACATCTAAGCCAGTGATTGAAATCAGTTGCACAGACAACAAAGATGGAGATCAAATCAAGGAGGAGGATTACAGCCTATATAGGAAACTTCAAGGTACATCCTGAGCAGGGAATCTTTTTCATAAGCACCCAGGACTGCATGCTTCTCCCCTAATTAACCAATTTCTAGATTCACACAATACATTGAGCAATGAATTGACCAAATGATCTGATTTTGCAGAATGTGCTAAGCTGCATTTTTTTTTGAGATTATAACATGCTAAGTTTGGTTAGTTTTATCTTTAATTTACTAAAACCGGGCAACAGGTTCTCGATCTAAGATGCTCCCTTACTTTCCGTGTTGATCTGGCAGATGTAAATATCCAAAAGCTGACTACAGGTAGTCCTTGAGTTATGGAACTTGCCCATTATGGTTGAAGGTCAGGAGGGCCGTTAAGTGAACTGTCTCACTTAACAACCCCCCATCCCTGCTCTCCCCAGCACATTTGCTAAATGAATACACGGGTGTTAAATGGAGCCTGGGGTGACTCAGGTGGGGAAGACCCTGGGAAGGCTAATTCTGGCACAAGCCCACCTGCCTGTGGTTTCCCAAGTCCATTCCCTACCCTTAGATATACTCCCTGCTCCACTTCCCACCCCTTGGGGTCCTTACAACCATTTGGGCCTCCTCCCCGTCATCCGTCACCAATCGCTGTTACTTTTCAAAGATCTCCAGAGCTCAGAAGATTGGGCCATGTGGCACAATTCCACAAGCAATCATTTTTTTCTGAAAAATAATGCTGGTGACGCTCTTGGTTTCCTTCACTAAAGCTAGCCTTAGCTTTGCCAGCCTCACTCGGAAAAAGACATTACTTGTGGGATTGTGCCATGTGGCTGAACAATGGAGTGGCCTGTCCTTCTCCTCTTAGCTTTGGAGATCTTCAAAAAGTGAGTGATCAGTGATGGGAGATGGGGACCACTACCAACGGGGTAGCAAAACATGCCTAATGCTTTTAGGGACCCGGCTGGCCAGGATGGGGGGTGAAGTAAGCAAAGAGGGCATGCTACATCTCTGCAGTTGGTCATAAGGGTGAACAATCACAGGATGCTGCAATGAACGTAACTTCGGGCCTGTGTCATAAGTACCTTTTGGGGAGGGTCTGTCGTAAGACTGAACAGTCAATAAGTGACTGGTTGTAAGTCAAGGACTCCCTGTACTGGATTATTAATTTGATTAGCAGTCTAGCCTTTTAAAAGCAACATATATATACTGATGCAACCACATCCATGTATATAGTACTTTGACTCTGTTCCCAAATAATGAGCAGTTCTGATTTTGTTTTTTAAATCACACTTTTCCATTGGAATTTTGCAAAGATGACACTTATTGGAGATGATATAAATGCTAACCAAGATGTATCTCCAACTTCATCTAAGAGGTGAATGGGTGTTTGCAACTTATTTGTAGAATCTCTGCCTCTTAATAAAACATACTAATGTTTGCTGATAAAATTATCTTTTGACTCTGCGTGAGAAAACCTTGAGGTTACAAAATACAGGTAACAACCCCCTCAAATCTAGCTCGACTCCTAATAAGGTGGGCCTCCTTATAGTAATATTACCTCCTTTATTCCTTTCTCTCCGTTTTGTTCCCCTCATCTCCCGCAGACACATCATCACCAGATGAATTAAAATATTTCGCCAACATTGGCAGCAGTTACATTGCATGGAAGGAATCAACTGAAAATGTGGGTTATGTCATGAGGGAAATCAAAGATGCAAAGAAATGGGTAAGTGACAAGAAAAGCTATACGTAAGAACCACAGGCCTATTTAATTAATCAGTAGTTACAGTGGACAACCATCCATTTTAGCCTACCATGTTTAAGCTGAACCTTTATGTTTAGTTTTTGGTTCAGTGTGTTTCAGGAAAAGCTCCTGTTAAATAAATGCCAGAATGAAAAATGTGTATAATAAGTTGTATGAGACTAAGAACTAGTCAGATATTAGAAGTTCACTTTCTAAGACACTGGTGGCCTATTAAGTACAATGGCTCCATAATTTTAATCTCTGGCCTGGTTCAGATTTAACACTAAGAGTTTCAAGAGTAGATTGGGCAACCGTGTGACCAGGAGGGCGTAAGGTCTCCTGCCTTGAGCAAGGAGTTGGAATAGAAGATTTCCAAGGTCCATTCTAGGCCTGTGATTCTATGCTCTATGAAACACATATTTTATAGAGTAGAGAAAGCCAAGGACATCGACAGTGAAGAGGAGGTAAGGTAAGGAAAAGAAGACACTGGGAAGGTTTGTGAGCTGGTGATGGGTCAATTAGATAGTTAACGTCCTTGGCTTCAAGCATAGAATACCATACCCCTACATATTCCCCTGCTCCCCAAGCTCTCCAGGGCAGCCTTTCTTAGCTGCCAATGTTTTTAGCTTGAAGCACCACATAAAGAGAGACAGAACTAGAAAGACATGAAGATAATGCTGATCAAGTTCACAGGCCCTGTGGAAAAAGAGGAAAGTTACCAACCCTACTTGCTCCTTGACCCTCTGGATTTTGTTCTGGCCCAAAACTGGAAAAACCAAAATGTTCCAGGGTTCAAGTACTACCAAACCATAGCCTACTTTGGATGGTTTGGCAGAACTTTTGGAGTACAACTTAGTGGTATGGGATATTGTAAAGAAAGATGGTTTTACTAAAATGTCAGGAAACATCCAAAGAGCATATAAGCCATTCTGCACACTCAGTACAATATTGATCTCGGCATGCACACAGTACCTGAATGCTAACAAGATGCTCTTTAAATATAATTATCTTCTCCAGCTTTCTTTATTCCAACCTTTTTTTCCCCTTTTCTGCCCAGTTACGTGACAACACACTTGAATTTGACTACACCGTTTTGATTGATAGTGATATCTCAAAGGTATGGAAGCTTCATTACTCAACACTTTTGTTTTTATAAAATAAATGAGCCTTTTATTTTAGCAGTATTGTTTCATTAAGCGAATTAAGTCCAGTGACCATATAATAATCATTCCAATCCATTTTGTAAGAACATTTTGATCAGTGAAGAAATGTATAAAAATAGTTTATTCAACAATTCTATATATGCTTATTCTAAAGCAAACCCTGCTAAATGCAGTAAGGTTCATACTCAAGGAATTAAGTTTAGGATTGCAGCCAATACATGCACACCCTGAAATGCTACTGGAATCAGTGGATTTATTCCAAGCAGACTTACTCCTGTCATTGATTATTTTTACAGAATCTTTCCTGTCATATGCATATTACCTGGAACCTGGAGCTGCCAATAAAAGTGAAATATGAGTGCATTTCAGAAGACACTTCTGCATATGGCTCTGGGCAAGAATCAGGTTCCTCTCCTGATTATTTCTTCGAAACTAACTTTTAAGTAGGGAGGGAAAATCCTTCCATTTAATGCAGTTGTAAACATTTTTACAAAGGTATAGTACATCTTTTGTTAATATTCCAAATTCAGTATTGAGAATCTTCTATCTAAATCAATGCAATCTATCTGGATGCTTTGCACTAGTCACTTCTGATCTATCATAGATATCTCTTTGCTGGTTAATTTCATAGAAATATTCATTTTTACAGATATTTTTATTACTGTATATGAAAAAACTGCTGATGTGTCGCTACGTTTTTGGTATTAGAAGTAACTCACTATAAGGCATTTTTTTAAAATATGTATGAACAAAGATCTTTGAAATTTTAAAAACTGCCATTTTAAATAAATATTTGATAAAATATTTTTACATTTTGGAAAATATTTGATGTTGAGATTTAACTTATCTTCAATAAACGGACAAGAATACATTTCGTCTGTGTCACTTCATGTTGTACCACTTGAACTACAATATTTCAAAATTTCCTTTCAATGTTTTATATAAGGATGTTTAAACAGGGTAAAAAATGAAGCTTGATTACTTCACGTTTTTCTGAGATATACGAGTCCAAAGCAAGCTTGCCAGAGGTCTGCCAGCAGCCTTCTAATTATGTAATTTTAGGGAGAGTAAACTAAAATTTACCATAAATTCTCCATCTAATTATATCAAAATCTACAGGAAAAAGAACGTACGAGTAAATTTTGCAGAGCTGACTAGAAGATAGAAACAAGCTAATAAATGTCGGTGTGAACTACATAATATATTGTTTTTTGAAAGACAAATTACATCTGAATCTTTGTGTAAGCAGTAAGGGGTTTTAACACAGTCCCACAGTCCAGGCTCTAATCTTCTGCATCTACATGCATTAGAATTAAGGTGTCTGATTGCAAGTGACACTTGCTTCAGAGGCGAACTGCAGCTGCATACAGCCTCAGCTCCATTGGAACAAAGGTGTAGAGCCTTTTTAAACATATAATTCAAATCCTTAGGTCTAAGACTGATTAATTTTTAAAAACCACACATTTAAGTGTTAATTGCAGAAACTGTATTTTTATATGGACTGAAAACAATCTAATTCCCCTTAATTGCAATGAGGATCTGTGTACTAATACCTGGTTTTAATACTTTAATTTCCATTGAATTTACTTTTGTGAGCTATGATGATAAGGCCAACAAGGGGAAAAATCCTGGAGAGTGGAGCACTATCGCTATTATCTGAAGACAATGTCAAATGATATTGTTCCAGGTTTTGCAATATTTCACGTTTGCTTATCCATAGAGTCAAGAATCATGACACTCAAATTGAAATACACAAGTTAGTGTTTTAAATGCAAATGTAGCATGGAATTAATCCAGGGAGTCTAATCTAATGTGTAGATTTATAGGTAGTCCTAGATGCATGACTGATCACTTAGTGACTGTTCAGTTATGACAGTCTCTGCCTCCCCCAAAGATGCTTACAACACAATTTCAAAATTACAATAGCCCACCTCCACCCCACAGTCATGTGATTATATTCTGGATGCTTTGCTACAGGCTTACCTTTACAGATGTTTGCTGTGTCCTGCGGTCACATGACCACAATTTTCAATGTTTTTTGCAAGTTTCTGGGGTTTACTTCTGGTTTCTGTCAAAAAAAGCCCTTTGGGTAAAATGGATTCACTTGACCATCACGTCCTCTTAACAACTACCACGTTCACATAATGACCACCATGTTCACTTAACAATCGTCACAAAAGTGGTTGTAAAATTGAGTCATCACATAGTGATTAACAATTGCAACAATCTACGACTGTAATTCTAGACTCAATTACACACACAAGTCAAGGATTATCTGTACTCATATGAATTGTACCAATGGCAGTATTTTTATCTTCTTGCTCACTAGCTATTTGTGAACAAGGAACCCCCATGAGGGTCCTGTGTTGCTTCTCTGGTTCTCCCTCAATGGTTCCATATAGATACTAAATAAAATAGGACAGGGGTGTCAAACTGCCGGCCCACGGGCTAGATGTGTCACAGCCAAATCGCATCCACCCCATTGCCAGCAATGGGAAAAAAGTTGTGATACAGCATGTCATGTAACATTGCGAGTTTGACATCCCTGAAATAGGGGGAAACCACCAAGCCCTGTGCACATACGTCTTCCCCACCCCCACCGGAACAATACTTGACCACTGCTTTCCCTTGATTACCAGTGGAGTCACACTCTCCAGTAGAAGCAGAACACTACTCCTGACTTCCAATCTTTACAATGTGCTCAATGGCATCAAATACCATCAAAGCAATCAGTGCCATTTCCATCTCCTTAATAGTATCAAGCAAGGGATACAGGGATATGTGTCCCTGTTAGAGATTCAGACAATCCATTTTTTTCTACAATTCGATATAGCTAGATACTTAGCATCAGTTTCAACAATATTCCCCAGAAATAGACTGGGTAAGTTGTCAAAAACAGTTGGCTTCAGAGAGGCCTTTTTAAGAAAGGCTGTACTACCACTTTCTTCCAAACAGGCAAGTGGTATAAATTTTTTTTGACCATTTCATTGATCCAGACACACTCAGCTCACATGATTACCCAAAGGAGATAGAAGGATCCTGGAACTAACCCGCAGGTGTCCAGGTTTGTATCTTACACCAACAGCCCCCAACCTTTCTGGCTTGGCTTGGGGGGGGGAATGGGGAGAGGGGAAACAGTCCATGCAAGCAGTGGACCAGTGTCTACATAGCTTGATTTGCATGAGTGGTGGGTTGATGCACCCATATGCGCCGGACGCCGCTCACACAAGTTGAGCTGCCTGTGTATGCGCCGGCCTGCGGCCCGGTTGCAAATGGCCACAGCCCAATAGTGGACCACAGCCTTGGGGATGGAGACCCCATCTTAGACAATCCTATTCATTTTGAAAAAGTTTTGGTCTAGCAATAGCAATAGCACCTAGACTTATATACCGCTTCATAGTGCTTTATAGCCCTCGCTAAGCAGTTTATAAACTCATCATCCTATTGCCCCCAACAATCTGGGTCCTCATTTTAGCGACCTCGGAAGGATGGAAGGCTAAATCAACCTTGAGCCGCTCAGAATCGAACTCCTGGAGTGACCAGTGAGTTAGCCTGCAGTACTGCATTCTAGACACTGTGCCACCATGGCTCTGTTGAAAGAAGAATCAGGAAAATTGAAAAATTAAAATTAAAAAGGAAAAAAAGAACTCATTCAGTACAATCTGCTCAAAATTTATTGCTATAGTGACAAAAACAAAAATCCAGAACTGTACCTACAGTAGTTCTTGTAGTAGATGTGAGATCGGGTTCCCATCAATCGGCTATCTGCAGATCCATAAATGATGTGCATTTATTTGTTTGTTTATAGCCCACCTTTATTATTTTCACAAATAACTCAAAGTGGCAAGCATATCCAACACACCTTCCTCCTCTTATTCTCCCTACTACAACAACCCTGTGAGGTACCATGGTCAAATTGCAATCAGATCCTGGCAAATCTCCTTTACTATTACCAGGAAAATGGATACCAGTTATGTCATATGAAAGCCACAATTATTCATTCTCCTTGCCATCACATTAGGACAGTTATGAGAAAGCTTCTTGCTCTTAAGACTTTAAAGGAGACAAATACAATATCATTCGGCCCACTTAGATTTATTTAGATAGCCCTGCAGGCATGTAAAGTGCAACACTCCCAATACACAAGTAGACATAGAAATTGCATTGCAGTCTTCATATGGAAGGTCTTGGGGAGGGACAAAATTCCATTCATACAAGTAGGCTGCATTTTTGGGTGGGTGTTCCTCTGAGAGATCAGACGTATTTCTTTGAAGGAAACAGACATTTTAACAATATCCAATGTCTGGCAACTGAAACAACATAACACTGCCTTGAGCTAATTTCAGTCAGCAACTGATGTGTCAGGCTCTCTAGAACCACTTCTCAATTTTTTTTCAGGCATTAGAATATCTGAGATTTTTACTGGAAGTGAATTCCAAGATATGGAAAAATCGTCAATAACACTAAAATATATTCTTTGCTTCTAGAAGAACGGAAAAGGGGAAAATCACTTTGCCCCGCAATCTATCTTCAGGTATTATTAGAAAGTTAAACTTACTAGACAATCCTCAAATGTTCATGTTACATTACAGTCTGCCTTGTGTACTCAAGTTCAGAGTAAGGTTATTTAATCTTCTAGTTCAGACTTGGTAGTGATTATCAAAAAACTCAGGTAGAGATCTGCTGATTCTCCTGCATTTGATTCTTTGATTAATTAAGGGAAGGCTTCAAAAACCGGACAGAGGTACGCAGAGAGTATTATGGTGAGGTGTAAAAAGACAGAAAGATGACAAGAACATTGTCAGCTTAATTTAATATCAAGCCCCTAAAACAAAACATTTTAATATAAATTAAGATGGTGATTCATTCATGGAATTTCTGTACAAACAACAGTCTTTTCATGACTTAATAAAGTCAAAACTTTGATTCAGGATGAAATTGGTCTGAATTTTCTTCATTTGTTCAATTGTAAATCTTGTAACAAATATAGCTTGTGGGCAGTTTCTTGTATGTGACTGATGTGAAGGTGCATTAACCTTTGACCTTGCCCTTTTTCCCAGGAAGTTGTCCTGTTGCTTCAAGGTATTGGTTAATTAATTCTTCCTGTATATTCGATGAACAGGCTTGGTATTTAATGTATTCCATTGTGTATTCCCCTTTTCCCTGAAGAGAAAATATTTTCATATTATGAATAATTTAAACAATTTATCAATTGCTAAATGGTAAAGTGCTAGTTTTCATGTATTATATGGTAGAAGAGAAATTTATAAGCATAGTTGACACAGTAACTGAACTGGCAACTGAGTTTACAATCCCAATTCTTTGAAAGACATATGCTTCTGGAGATAAAAAGCTAGATTTTCAAATCAGCTCCCAATCTTCCTATATTCACATCTTTGTCTCTGCAGCACTTTTTTCCCCTTCACTTTCTCTTCTCATTCCTTTTAACCAAGGGCGATATAAAAGGTTTGAACCAAAAGGCAGAATCCAATCGTTTGTTTGTTTGTTTATTTATTTACTGTATGTGCTCCCCATCTTGTCTAGAGGCCACCTTGGGCGGCTTACAAACATTTATCTGTCCCTGTAGGTTATCTGGCACAGGTAGTTGTGATTTAAATGAACCAATCAGAGCCATCCAACTAGCACTCACTGTTCTTCACCAGGAGTCAACACAAAGGGAAAAAATAGGTGTGGGCAAAAAAGAGCTTCTGCACAAACGTAAGATCTGTTTTGTGCTTATTTTTGCCCAAATCCATAATTTTTTCCCTTGAAGGGGAAACAAGAGGCAAAGGAAAAAAATATGAGGGGTCCTTGATGCTCGCTGAGCTTGCTTGTTTTCTTACAGACATTTCATTACCCAAACTAGATAACATCATCAGTGCAAGTAAGGAGTGCAGTTTGCTGTCAGTTTATATTCTAGTGGCTTGCCTCTCAGTGTTGGTGGGGGTGGTCTTAGAGTCTTAGGTCTTAGAAAAATATGCTTGGAGTGGCTAACCATGCCAGAAATGTGAAGCCCTATTAGTCAAATAAGTCATATAAGGAACGGTTGCTGGAATTGGGTATGTCTAGTTTAATGAAGAGAAGGACGAGGGGGACATGATAGCAGTGTTCTAATATCTCAGGGGCTGCCACAAAGAAGAGGGAGCCAAGCTATTCTCCAAAGCACCTGAAGGCAGGACAAGAAGCAATGGGTGGAAACTAACCAAGGAGAGAAGCAACCTAGAACTAAGGAGAAACTTCCTGACAGTTAGAACAATTAACCAGTGGAACAACCTGCCTCCAGAAGCGGTGAATGCGCCAACACTGGAGGTTTTTAAGAAGAGACTGGACAGCCATTTGTCTGAAATGGTATAGGGTTTCCTGCCTGAGCAGGGGGTTGGACTAGATGACCTCCGGGGTCCCTTCCAACTTTATCATTATTATTATTATAAATGGGTAACAGACCAGATGAAAATCTCAGGCGGCCAGGGTAAAGGCTCATCATCTCTTCTCTAAATTATTCAGTCTCATTTCCTAGATATTCCTTCTTTTTTTCTGCTAGGTTCCTTTCTAGATATTTCTTTAGCTTCTCTTTCCTTCCTGGATATCTCTTCCTACTTTGTGACTTTAAACACAATTAATTACTCATTTTCAGAAACGGCCTCTATACCAAAGCTAAAAAAAAAAAAGGTGTATCCTGTAGTAAAAATGATCTGAATGAGATAATCATAAATGGTGGAAAACTGTAACATTTCTTTAACAAACCCAGAAAGTATCCGCTCATTTACCTCTGTACATGATCTTAGTTCCATAGCATATCCAAACATATTGTTCAATGCCACCTAAGGAAAAAGAGAGAATTGGTAATAACTGCTTCTCTTAATTTAAGAAGCATCCACAAAATTACAAATCGGGGTTTACAAATTACTTACACACCAAGCACTAACTGCACGGTAAAATTTAGCTTCTTGGGATAGGTTCAAGGCATGATATGCAGCTCCTTCATTCTCTTTTTGTAACTTGATTAATAACAAAGAGTGTCATGACACTTTAAACATAAAGTTATTGATAACTGCATCTGCTGTATGAACTGTAAGATTCAACACCCAGGTTTCCTCTTCTGAGGATTCGGGCTCAGAGATTGTGTGAACCAAGCCAGGTAATCTGAATTTCTTCTGTCATAAAAATACAACCCTGATGCTCTCTTCCACACATCATTCATCTGAGAGCATTAGCAAATGAACTTTAAATAACAAAAGTACCAAAATGGACAGTTATGTCTACTTTTATTGAAGTTATTTATTTATTATGGCCATATACAGAAAGCCAGGTGTCTACTGCATTGGCTGTAGATATTTGGCAGCTGACAAGACCCAGAAGCAGCTACCATGGGACTTCCCACCCAAGATGAATTAGCCAGTGATATCATCATTGCCCAAGGAATGCCCAATGGAGACTCACCTCTTCTGTCCCTGCAGGTTCCCACCAAAATGGTAACTATTTATCTACTTGCATTTTTCAAACTTTCAAACTGCTAAGTGGGCAGGAACTGGAGCCCGGGGTGGGAATTCACCTCTCTACGTAGTACCCAGATCTCAAACTTGGGCTTGATGATTGTCAAACCTCCATGCTAACCATAGAGCCACCATGCCCCTTTTATTAAAGTTCTTAATAAACATAGTGAAAAAACTAATACAAACTAAACTAGAAGGAAAAAGTACAAGAAGTGCAGAAAAAAGGAAAAGAAAAAAATAGGAAAGACGACAGCAACAAAAACAAAAACAAACACGTGGCTTCCAATCTTCATTACACTGAGCATAAACTAACAACTTTTCACCCACTTTTTAAATAAAAAATACAAATAAAGTATTTAAAGTACAAATAAAAAAGAACGCCTCTCCTATTCTAATTTTTATCTATATGAAATCCAGAAATCATTATCTTTTCAGTCTTGATTCAGCAAAAAAATCCACTAGGAATTACCGGAAATATCAAACAAATAATTTATCTCTGATTAAATAGTCCAAGTTTATATTCCTTCGTTTCGCTGTTCACAAATCTTAACCTTTAAATCATTCCATTGGCATTACAAGATTTGATCTTTCATCAATCTTTAGTATTCAAGAGGAATTTTCAAAGCTTTCATGAGCTTAATTTGAAAAATAAGTGAGGCATCATCCAAGATTTTTTCCCCCGCCAACTGTTATATATCAAAATCCTTTTCTTGATTTGTCTTTTGAATTCAGATTTTGGTAACCTTAATTTTGTTGTCTTCCACATCTTCAAACTATATAATATCTATGGCAGGGGTGTCAAACTGCCGGCCCACCCCATTGCCAGCAATGGGGAAAAAGCGCCAATATGTCGTGCAACGTCATGTGACATCGCGAGTTTGAAATGTCTGATCTATGGCAACTAAACATTTAATTTTTTTTATCATCTTCTAAAATAATCAATTGAAATCCATATCCTTTCTGAGATATTAATTATTAGTACCTCAGTCCAGTTATCAAAAAACCTTTCAAGATAAGAAAAAGTTATAACCGGCTTAGCCATTTTAATTCTTTTCTGCCTGGTCCTTTAGTTCCCTCTAGTGTCAATCTGTAACTTTCATTAAGCCACAGTTTCTAATATGGGTTTAGCTTCATTTCAGTAGTTTCCCACAACTCTACGATTTTTCCTATGCTTTTCAAATCTTTCAGCAAAGATAACCAATATTCCAAATCTCTCTGGTCTCTCTATCCATTTAAAAAATTTAAAATTAATTCCCCCCCTTTTGCCAATTATATATGACTGTATTTTAAATTCTTAAGTCTCGGTTTAAAATTTCTTAAATCCAAAAAACTGAGCCTGCCATTTTGAAGGTCTCTAATATGGATAAGATTATTAAATTGAACATTTCCAAATGTGATTAGAAAGTGAGTTGGTATGGCTTAATGTCCTTATGTAAAAGCCGTGCTACTAATGAGAGTAAAGACGTCTTCCTGTTTATGGTTCTTGTTCTGTCCCAGCCTAAGTCCGTCCTTGCTGCGTCACAAGAACAACCCCTTTTTTATCAGTAGGCTGGAAAAACCGACCCTTTTTATTTCATAAACAGTCCTGATAAGTTTTCTCCAAAACAAAAACAACAGAATACTTTTCCAACAGATAATTGGTTAAAAAAGCAAACAGAGCAGGAGTTAAACAAGAAATTCACCGGTAAAACAAACAGACCATGATCCCTTGAAGTTCTTTACAAACGGTTGCCTTCAGCAATCAGCACCGCCCATACCTTCCCTTTTTATAAAGCAGCCTCAATGCCTTCTCCTCCTCCCTTGGAGTTGTCCTATTGACTCCCTCTGATTTGCTCTAGATAATTGCCTTCATTTACAAGCGTCTTTAATGACATCCAGCTGTGAGTCCTCAAAGTCTGACTCATCTCCCACACACAGCTGTATCTTATCCTGAACATGACTGGAGGGGCCAGGCTCTTCATCCGATTGTGAGTCTTGTAACTCATCAGAGCCTTCCTCCGACTCTGATGGCTCCTCCTCCGACTCTGATTCCCCAGACTCAGCTGCCGGGATCACAGGCTGGCACGGATGCTACCGAGAGCACTCGTGACCGATCTCCCATTCTTACTCTCTGGAGAGCTTCAAAAGACAAGCCTACTCACTGGTATTTCATTCTTCACAGCAATTGTTGTTTCTGCATATTTATGGAGATGTCTTCAGTTAGCCATGTCTCACAGCAGAAGCCCACACAGGTATTCCAATGACTTAACTGTTCAGATTTGTTACAGAAAGTGTTTTGATAGATAGATACGAATGAAGTAATTATTTGAACAGTAGCTTTAGATGACACTCAGTAGTACATACCTCAGCAGTGAGAGCAAAATAGTCTTCGGCTGCCTCTTGTCCTGTGATAACACCATGACGGCGATTAATTCCAGCCATGACTGGTCCTTGGAATTCAACTGGTGCTACGACTTCCACATCCATAATAGGCTCAAGGATACATGTTCCTGCCTCTTTCAGAGCTGAGTTCAAAAGGAAGAGATGATACAACACCTATACAGCCATATGCCTTTTTATATTTACTATTTAACACACATACTCACCTTGTGGTGAGATGGACGGCAAGTAAATTTAATATATATAAATGAATGAATGAACAAATGGTATATCTATATAGATCTGCAGCATGTAAAGACTTGTTTTCAGTTCAAGCTGAGTAATAATAAAAGACATTATTTGTAAAGAACAGTTGCATGAAATACCCCAAGATAGGCAGTTTTATGGCCATGCCTGTTAGAGGAAGCAGAATATAAATAGTAAACAGTCCATCTAGAACACAGGTGTCAAACTCGCTGCGTATCGTGCCTTTTTTCGTATTGCCGGAGCTGGGGTGGGCATGGCCTCCGGATGATGCAACCGGCCCACGGGCCAGCAGTTTGACACCCCTGATCTAGAATCAAGAGGGATTTCCCTCGCTGAAGATTTTGAAATGAGCATCAGGTGACAGTTTGTTAAACACTGCTTAGTAGATTCCTGTTTCAATAGAGGGCTGCATTAGATGATCTACAAACTTTTCTAACACCTACATTCAATCATTTTATGAAATTTACATCCACATATTAATATAAAGCCCAAATATGTTTGTTTCAAAGACAAACAACAAGATGGGAGAAATCATGATAAGCAGATATAAATAGGAAAGAAATGAAATTCTTCAGAACATAAAAGACAAATCTAAGGTCATAAGAATGGTAAAGTGGTGGATAGCAATAAAATGAAAGAACTAGACGCTTGATCTGTGGGTTGGTTGGCTAGAAAGAACTGTCTATGTCTTTAAATATTTATATAAATATATAAATTGGGACTGTAACTGTTGTTGCTGAGCGATGGGGTTATTAAATAACCACATCCAATTTTATGACCTTTTTCACAGTCATTAAGAGAAACACCATAATCATTAAATGAATCATAATCGTTAAGCAAATCAGGCTTCCAACATTGGCCTTGCTTGTTGGAAATCACCTGGGAAGTTGTAAATGGCAATTTTGATCACACGATGGTGGAGATGCAGTGATGGTCATAAATGCAAGGTCCAGATGCTTTTTCAACACACTTGTAACTTCGAACAATCATTAAATGAATGGTCATTAAGTTAAAGACTACCTGTATAAATATTGTGGATAAACTATAAAGAACACTACAGGCACGAGAGAAAGCGTTTGAAAGAAAATTTCTTCATACCTTGTCTCGTGGCACCTTCAGCAGCTCGGATGAAAGAAATTTCATTAGAATCCACCATGTGAGAAGCTCCATCCTCCAGGACGAATCGGATCCCTGAAATCTTGTGACCTATTAATGGGCCTTTCTCACATGCATCACGGAATCCCTATAAAACATAAGATAAGATAACCCTTTATTGCTATTTTTTACTATGAGCAACTGGCTCACATTAAAAATGACATTCTATTGCCTGCTCTCAAAAGAAAGCATATCTTTTCTTTTTTGCAATAACCTGATTTTACAATATTTATGTGGTCTCAGCAACAGCTTGATGGCACACACACACACACACACACACACACTTTAACAGTCTACAATAACAGTAATATGCATTCAGAAAACATGATTCGAAGTAGTGATTTGCAATCAGAACATAATTAGGATAAGATAGCATGTCTAGGATTGAAAATAAAATGAAACCTTAGAGATATTGACACGTAAATTGAATAATTATGTGTCATCAAGTTGTTGCTGACTCTTAGAGACCACATAAATATTATAAAATCAGGTTATTGCAAAAAAAAAGAAATGAGCCATTTGCATGGTTTTAAAATCCTAAGAAGTGAGGGATGAACTCAAGCCCTATAATGTTCTCCCTATATATTTACAACTTCCAAAAACTGCTGGTGTTTGCTTAAAATTTGGGATCTAATTTTTATCATTCTGACTTGAGAAGAAATCTAACCATCCACTAGAATTGTAACTCAAGGCAATTATACTCTGAAAGAAAAATTATAACAATTATAACTTGTCTACAATATTGTCTGGTTCATATTTAATATAACAAAACTGAAATAAGTATATATTACCTTTTCAATAGCTGGCAGAAACTGCTTTGGAATATTTGTCCCAATTGTTTTGTCAAGAAATTCCAGTTTCGTATAATTCTCTGGCTCTAGAGGCTCCAGATACCCTATAACTTTTCCATACTGGCCTGCCCCACCAGACTGCTTTTTATGGGTATACTCAAACCTGCAAAAAATGCAAACATTATGTTGCAGTCAAATCACACCTGTTCTGGTTGTTTAATACCATGTGTAATGGTTATGTGTAATGGTTCTCTGTGTGATCAGCACTGATCTTCAGATGTGCAAGCAATTTTCAAATGCAATTTTTTTTACACAAGTCAACGGTCCAGAGTCCCTCTCCGGTTGTGTTAAGTGTTGCACTTAGTACTCCTGTATTTTTATATTAAGACATTTCATTTTAAAAACATTATTTTTGTTGGGGAGGGGGCACCAGGATTATGTTTATATATATGCTGTAGGTTATTACCACCTATAAATGACTACATAAGAAAATAGATGTACAATGCTTTTGGTTTGAATGAGAAGCTAATAGAGAATTAAGCAGAAGTCCCCTCTTTGCACAGAACTGAATGGAAGGGTGATTAAATGAATGTGTTGACAGCGTGTTTGTAGGGTTGCCAGGTCTGCTTCCAAAAAATAGCGGACAAGCGGGGGGGGGGGGTTTAAGTAGTAAAAAAAGTAGACTGTACAGCTTTAGATTACGTACCATTTCATCATAAAGTTTTTGAATTAAAAAATGTCCACTATTTTGTGAAAAAAAATAGTGAACATAATGTGAAAAAAGTGGACTGTCCACTCAAATAGTGGACACCTGGCAACCCTAGGTGTTTGCACTTTTGGCAGAGCTTCGGTAGAAAGCAAATCCTGCGGTTCGACAAACCCAATATTTGCTTTTCTCGGGGCAGAGTCCACAGCCCTCCCCCTCCGCTCATTGCTTCCCACAACAGCACCGCGACATGGGTCGGGCCAAGAGGGAGCCCAGCCCGAAGCCGCTGGATGAGGTTGGCTCGCTCCGCCCGGGAAACGGCTGAAACGCAGCTGCAGCGCCGACGGGGAGGGCAGGAGCAGCCGCCAACTATTTCTCCCGGTGCCAGCGACCTCTGGTCCTGAGCAAACATGCTCCGGAATGGGCTGTTTATTCTTTGCCCTCTGGCTGCAAATCCCTTCGGAGAGTATTTAATGGCCAGGGAGAAGCAATTCATCCCCAAAGGCGGAACAAGATCGTCTTGTTATCCTTTCTAGAGTCGACGCCGCCCAGTAGCTTGGGAAGGAACCCGGCCTAAAGGGCGGCTTCCGATGGTCTCCGAACCGCCGCCTCTTTCCTAGCTGGGACGGATTCGGGCTTCTGCGTCCAAGCCGCGGTCAGCTCCAACCCCGCGGAGATGCCGACCCTTCGCGGCCCAGGAGGCCCCGCTCGGCTCCTCCAGCTGCTGCTGCTTCCGGCTTCCCTGGTGCTCGCCCA